ATAATAGCTATATTCAATGAATGTTTAACAATCATAATTGTATGCATATTTATTAGATTGATGATATGAGCAATGGAATGTGCTGAAATGTGTAAGTTGACATATGAAATTAGAGAACAAGAAGATAAACAATTTTATAGTACATGGGATCTATTTAATTAGTGGTTAGATTTAAAAAAATATGGAATTGAAAATTTATTAGTGAATGTTACCAACACCAAAATAATAGAATGATTTAAAATAGGATATAAAAAAAACTTATTATTGGACATGTTGAAGATGATGTAACAAATTATTATAATATAAATGAACCCATATTTAGAATACCTCGTTTAAAATGAAGAAATAATAGTGACAGTCAAACAAATGAAGTGCTATAATAATAATGTATTCAAATATACTTGATTGACAATGTGACTTTATATAAAATTTAAGGGATGACTATGGAAAGGATGCACAAAAACCTTGTAACCAATCAACACACTGTACGGAATGGAAGATTTTTTTGTTACGTGTTTTTTTTGTTTGCTTGTTTTAAAAAATAAAAACGTATATAAAAAAAAGAAGGAAGGACTCACAGGGGAAGAGCCTAATGCTGGGAAAAACTGAGAGCAAAAGAAGAAGGGGACGGCAGAGAAGGAGGTGGCTGGATGGAGTCACTGAAGCAGGAGGTGTGAGCTTGAATAGACTCCAGAGGATGGTAGAGGACAGGAAGGCCTGGAGGAACATTGTCCATGGGATTGCGATGGGCCGGACACAACTTTGCAACTAACAACAACAAAATTGCAGCAAAGCGAATTCTATTCACTTTTCTAAGGACATGATGTGATGTATAGCAACTGAATGTTAAGGGCCTCTCTATTAAACCACATTTTTCAAAACGTTGTGTTATTCAGGACGCTATGTTAATCGAAACAAAATTTGGAGCAAAGGGCTCCTCTGACATCTGAATCATCCAGAGACAAAACACATTACAGCGGAAGCAGGATCTAGAAAGTTCTGGAACCCATCCCTTTACCACCAATGTGGTTTTCTATTCCTACTGGTTAGGAATTACCACCAATGTGGTTTTCCATTCCTACTGGTTAGGAAATTACCAGAAGATCCCTACGGCTTCAATTCCTTTATCCCTGCAATATGGAGTGGGACAGTATCTTGGTACTCAACTGCTTTGAAACTCATCAAATTTGGCACTCAGCGCATTTTGACGTGGACATTTTGTCCCAGCACTCATCATTTGTTTGGTACTCTACGCACAAGCTAGAACTTGTTGGTATCAGCTGCCTGGTAACTCACTACATTACTGTTTTGGGCAGCCAGCGAATCTGGCAGCAGACTCAGTGAGGAAGTTGGAGAGGAACATGGGCCAATCCTGGAGTCTGGGGAAGGCTTTGACAAGTGCTCTGAGTCAGAGGCAGAGCGGGGGCCAGGGCCATCTGACAGTTATCAGCTGCCTTCGGAATCGCATACCACTGGGGCAGAAGAACACCTAGAGCCTGTTCCCATTGTGCGCATGCGCAGGGTTGCCAGGAGAAGGTAACAGCTAAGGAACAAGGGCCAACTGGGGAGTAAAGGGACAGGTGGATGGTGAATGGCCCCTCCCATAGGGAATGAAGAGGAGCGAAAGAGGAGGGGAGTTTGCAGGAGACAATTAGTTCAATTCATTAGAGTGAAAATCTGTTCCTGACTTCTTGCCAAGTAATTGCTGCTACAGCGTGGCGTTTGGAAGATATCGGCCTGGCAGCTCTCCAAGCCAGATAAAGGCCTGTAGCTGTGAAATCTCTTGAAAGACTGTTGGCCGGGACTTTGCTGGAGAGGAATTTACTCTAAAACTAAATAAAAGGGATTTTATTGGGACGAGGAGTCAGCTTCGTGCTTTTGAGAAGCCTAGGTCAGAACAATTACAGTGGTATAATGGAGGTGTAATGAGAACCAAAACCGATGAGTATCAAACACATTCTTCCCATAAGGAATAATGTAGTGAGTCACAAGGTAGTTGAATTCAACAATTTCTAACTTGTGCATTGAGTACCAAACAAACAATGAATACTGGGACAATTTTTTTCTATCAAAATGCATTGACTACCAAATTCAATGAGTTTCAAAGCAGCTGAATACCAAGGTACCACTGTATTCCTTATGGGAAAAATGTGTTTGGTACTCATCACGCTTCCCAGAACTACTAACAATGAGTACCAAGGACCACTGTCCATGTATATCTCTTCTGCACTTTCTCCAACTGCTCTCTTGATGTACTGGATCAACAATTCATATTGCAGTGTGTGATAGTTCTCTTGGGGCACCAAGCCAACCGAAGCTGCATTATTTCTTTTATACAAAAAAGGCCTACAGGAACATGCTGGCTGGGAAATTCTGGGAGTTGAAGTCCACAAGTTTTAAAGTTGCCAAAGCTGGACAGCCCTGGGGTCATGATTCTGAGGAATTCTCCCAACTAGTTCAAGACTCTGAGACTTTGCTTTCTCAAAGATCCTGTTTATTGGGTACATCAAATTGGCACGTTCAAATGTTAAGCCATCTCTGAATAATTCCCCTGCTTTGGAATAATTCACTGATAGATACTGGCCACCCCCCTTGGGTCACAGTTCATGTCAGCCAATCAAGCAGGTGATGAGCTTCTTCCTGCCATTGCTAGGACATGTTGAATTGACTTTGGTTCTCAGGAGACTTATTGCTGTTATCTGACAGTTTTAGGAAAACATTCTACATTCTATAAGTGTTGTTACCACCTCCACCCCCGTCCCGCCTCCCCACTTCCCGGTACAAGGGTGGCAACTAAGAAATGAAGCAGAGAAAATTATGGCCTCGGCTAGAGTCTTTTTGAGAGTTGATACCTAGCCCACGTCATCATTTCTAAAAATACTGAAATTTAAAAACAAATGCAGAAGGTTGCATCTCTCCACCTGAACTCATGAACGATGTATTTTACCTCTTCTGAAAATGTCTGCAACTGGTCTTTGGAATAAACGTACTGCCAGATTCTCTCCATGTCGTTCCAGTCCCGGACAATGCCATGCTCCATGGGGTACCGGATGGATAACAATCCTCGGTGTTCCTACGGAAGAAATAGAAATTATTCTGCTATAGAGGATGGCACCCAGCAGCCAGAAGATGACTCCTCTTAGGTGAGAACAGATAATGTCCAAAATATATAACCTCTGTCTACATGGATGCAACAGAAAAGTTCAAAGGTGGCCTATTGCAAAGCACACCAAACATCTCTAAAAGGCAGAGTGTAAAATGTATATGCTCTTTTTGGATATTAGAGTTGAATAAATCATTGTCCAGCTGCTTTCTTTAGTATAACAGCCATGGGTGGCGCAGTGGTTAGTATTGCAGGCTGGATTTGCCCACTGCCAAAGGTTTGATCCTGACAGGTTGACTCAGCCTTCCATCCATCCAAGGTGGGTAAAATGAGGACCCAGATTGTTGAGGGCAAGAGGCTGACTCTGTAAACCACTTAGAGAGGGTTGTAAAACATTATGAGGAAGGACAGTGCCATGGTGGCATAGTGATAAAAATGCAGTATTGCTGGCTAACTCTGACCAGAGTCTGGTCTTTGATCCTGACAGGACTCAAGGTTGACTCAGCCTTCCATCCCTCCAAGTAGGTAAAATGGGGACCCAGATTGTTGGGGGCAAGAGGCTGACTCTGTAAACCACTTAGAGAGGGCTGTAATGCAATATGAAGTGGTATATAAGTCTAAGTGCTATTGCTATAAGCAAAACTCTTAATTAATACAGAGAAAAATCAAGTCAATTAGCATTTTAGGTGGGGAACAGGGTTCAAATGAAGCCTGGCAAGACTGAGTGGATCTGGGTGTTGGGGCCCTTCTGGGTCTGTACCATCTTTGGTACTGGAGTGGGTATCCCAGAGATGCTGTGGGTGGGATTTTACCTCTGCTTTCGGTCCAATGAAGAGATCTCCTTCGAGTGCTCCAGCCATAACGCGAACATGCTTCGGGCGGCCCACACTAGCAAGAAAGAGAGTGATTCATCACTTTTGCACATGAACATGTGTCAACCTTACAAGGCAGACCAGCCAGACCGAAAGCACAATTAGATGACCTAATTCAAGATTACATTAATAGAATCTTGCAAATCTAAAAGGACGATTTTCCCAGTATCTCCTTTACAGTGCAAAAAACTAAGAAAGGTTCTTGCTCCACCCGCATTCCTGTTGTAGGCCCAGCTGCCTTTTATTTAGCTGTGTTGTGGCCAGCCAGCGGCCCAGCAGAGATGGCAGAAGATTCGGATAGTGAGGAGGTTGGGGAGGAACATGGGCCAGTCCTGGAGTCTGGGGAAGGTACTGATGAGGGCTCTGTGTCGGAGGCAGAGATGGGGCCAGGGCCGTATGCCAGTTATCAGTTACCTTCAGAGTCAGACAGCAATGAGGCAGAAAAACAGCTGCAGCCTGTTCCCAGTGTGTGCATGCACAGAGTTGCCAGATGAAGCGAACAGCTAAAGAACAGGAGTAAACTTGGGAGTAAGGCCACAGGTGGACAATGTATGGCCCTCCCAGAGAACATATAAGAGGAGCAAAAGGGGAGTGGAGTTTACAGGAGACAATTAGTTCGCTTAATTGATTTGTGATTCTCCAAGACTCCTTGCCAAGTTTTGCAGATGTTGGCAGCTCTCCAAGCCAGAGAAGGTCTGTGACTGTAAATCCTCCCTTGAAAGACTTTGCTCGATGTGAATGAGCAGAATTCATAGTAAATTAATAAAAGTGGTCAAGACCAGGAGTTTGCTTCAGGCTCTTGGGAAGTCTCGGTCAGACCAAGCTGTTCCTTTAGCCCATGTCTTTTTGCCCCGTTTCCAAAGGTAATTCCCACATATTATTATACCGGAGGACCCTTTACAATTGTTCATCAACCTTAACCTCACCCAGCTCCCCTCTTGTTCCCAACTTTTTACACTTAACAACTTACGAGATGTTTTGGAGTGATACTCACTAGTTTGGGAAGCAGTACTTTGGAATCTGATCTCCAGCAAAACCAGCTTTAACTACTCCTGAACCCTGTGTGGGGAAAAAAAGCCCACTCATCAACAGCAAACACTGGTTCAAAACACACTGGGTAGCAGAGAAAAATTTGCCACATGTCGCTTGGTGGCATAATGAAGCTGGCACTGAGGTTTTTCAGTTCCTTTTTGTATATATCACTTTTTAGATTTTTATTATATATACTGTGTGTGTGCCCGTGCATAAATATAAATATACTTCCATATTGCATGTGAACAGAGTTGGTTCATATTAACCCAATTCACAGTAACAATATTAGTAATCTCTCTCACATTTATCAAATTTAAGTAATCCTCGTTATATTGTTTAAACCAGGGTCTCTGGAGCCAGATGTCTTTCATCCCTCTGCTGCAGCTCCATGTCTCTCAAAATATGCATCACAACCACCAATGTGCGACCCCATTTTATTGAGGTTTTCAAGTAATCTTTTTTTTTCCAGTGTTCAAAATGTTTTTGTTTACATGCTGAAATAAAAAAATTTCTCTGTAGCAGTTCATTGATTTTATAAATGCAACACACAATAGTTTTTTTATACATAGCATAAAGGTTAAAAAAAAATAACATTTTCCTGAAAGTAAGACCTCTCTGGATAATAAGCCCAATCGGGCTTTTGAGTCTGCTGAACAAAACTCTGCATTGGCATCAGGAAGGCATCTGGCCATTAAAAAACTCTGCCTGCTCCATTCAGTTGCCCAGACTCCACCCTGCAAGGGATTATGGGGTCATTAAAGATGTTGATGATGACTTATGTTTTATTTTTACAAGTGAAACAAACAAAATGTGAAAAAGTTATGTTTATGTACTTACCAAGGCTTATTTTAAAGTTACATTATATTAAATAACGGCATTAACTAATGTTTTTGTGCCATTGGTCAGCATAATGTATTGGTTAAACAACTGAGCTACTGATCAGGAAAACACGGAGGCATTCCTTTCAAACAGTAGTTATTCTAGACAATCCACTTCATAGTTTTCATTTGCAATACAGGAGCTAATGCTAACTCACCTTACATATAACAACTAGAGAAACCAGTTACAGATAGTCCTCAACTTACGACCCCATTGAGCACAAAATCTGTGATTAAGTGAGACATGTGTTGTGAGTTTTGCCCCATTTTATGATCTTTCTTGCCCCAGTTCTTAAGTGAATCACTTGCAGTTGATAAGTTAATAACTTGGTTGTTAAGTGATTCTGGCTTTAAATGCTTGTCAGAAGGTCGCAAAAAGTAATCACATGATCGACGCTGCAATGGGTCATAAGTATGAACCAGTTGCCAAGCATCTGAATTTTGGTCACAAGAGCATGGGGATGCTGCAAAAAATGGTCATTAGTCACTTTTTTTAGCCGTTGTAACTTTGAACACCGACGAAGCAAAAATTGGAATTAAGATTGCTGAGAGAAATATCAACAACCTCAGATGTGCAGAAGATGCCACTCTAATGGTAGAAAGTGAAGAGGAACTAAAGAGCCTCTTGATGCAGGTGAAGGAAAGTGCAAAGGTTCGCTTGAAACTCAACGTTCAGAAAACTTAAGATCATGACATCCAGCCCTCTCAATTCCTGCCAAATGGAGGGGAAAGAAATGGAGGTCATGGCAGATTTTATTTTCCTGGGCTCCAAGATCACCGCAGATGGGGACTGCAGCCAATAAATTAAAAGAGGCTTGCTCCTGGGGAGGAAAGCAATGGCAAATCTAGACAGCAGACTGAAAAGCAGAGACATCACCCTGCCAACAAAGGTACGTATAGTCAAGGCTGTGGTTTTCCCAGTTGCAATGGATGGCTGTGAAGGTTGTACTATAAGAAAGGCTGAATGCCAAAGAACGGAGGCCTCTGAACTCTAGTGCTGGAAAAGACTCCTGCGAGTCCCTTGGACTGCAAGGCCATCCAACCAGTGAGTCCTAGAGGAGATCAACCCTCTTTAGAAGGACAGATCCTGAAAAGGAAACTCAAATCCTTTGGCCACCTAATGAGGACTCCCTGGTGAAGAGCCTCATGCTGGGAATGATGGAGGACAAAAGAAGAATGGATGACAGAGAATGAGGTAGCTGGATGGAGTCACCGAAGCAGTCGGTGTGAGCTTTAACGGATTCCAGAGGATGGTAGAGGACAGGAAGGAACGTTGTCCATGAGGTTGCGATGGATTGGACACGACTTCGCAACTAACAACAAAACTTCAAATGGTCACTAAATGAACTGTTGTAAGTCAAGGACCACCTGTATTTATTTTCCATGCCTCTCAGTGCTATACATTATTATGCTGGCTGTCAAATTGTTACACAAACTTCATTTCCCCCCCCACCCATTCTCCATTATCTAATAGTAGGGATTGAAACTGGGGTTTTCCCTCATATAGGACCACCATGTTATGGACCATGCTAATAAACTAGGATTTTGAATGGTTCATAATCAAAGCTCAGTAAGAGATTTACATATAGAAAAGAACACTTCATTTGGTCATATGTGTTTAGACATACAAGACAAATTTCTTGTGTGTCCAATCACACTCAGCCCAATAAAGGATACTATTCTATTCGATAGAATAGTACTCTGGCTCGCCTGGAAAGGAGCAAAAAAAGCATCCGCAAGAAAATAGAGGAATCAACACAAACCATGGCAATTATTTAAGTAGCCACTACAATAAGAATATATTCTTAACACAAAGAAATTAAGGACAGGAAACAGTCCTATCAGGTGGAACCCCAGAGAGTAACTGGGTAATGGCAACTACCGCTGTCAAAAAATAAAATAAAATGCATGGATGAAATGAAATAGGTGGTAGGAACCATAATCAACACAGATGCCTTTTTCTCTCCCTCTTGCATTTCCTATACTGTATAGGTAGACAAAAATACCAAACTCAATCTGGACATCTGGTTCACTATGTGATGAATCATCATCACCATTAATAGACACTTTTAGAAGATACTTGATTGATACCTAGGATGCTGGCAGCAACCGTTATCAACCATTAGTACCAGTCAATGGTATTTGTGATGAATTTTTGAATGTTCAGTTGACTGAGTTCCATGTTTAATGAATAAAGTATATAATAATAATAATGAAATATAATAAAAATGTATCTAGTCAATAATATTTGTGATACAATTTGTAAATGTTCAGTTGACTGAGTTTCATGTTTAATGAATACAAGTTAATAATCATAACAACAACCATAATAACAACACTATCAAACATTCACTTTTGGCTATCCCAGGTAAGGATTCAATAGGTAGACAAAAATGCCAAACCCAACTTGAACATCTGGATTATTATTATTATTATTATACAATTGTATCACAGCGGCCAGTTGTATCGATGGATTTGGCATTGGTTACTACTCGGGCCCCACCCAGGGGCTTAGGACGTCGTAACGTATTTTCGTAATATGCGTGCAGATCCAAGCAGTGCGGCTTTTTGCATTTGACTGATAGTGATTTTGTCAATTTTTAACTGTTTTAAATATAATTCCAGTGCTTTTGGAATAGCACCCAGTGTGCCAATTACCACTGGAATTACCACTGCTGG